AACCCTAAGCCACGCAAACCCCAAACGCCGCAAACCCCAAACACCGCAAACCCTAAACACCCGAATAAAAGCCCTGCCCAGGTTCTCTTGGTGATGGTCGTGCTCCTCGCTTTCAACAGTCGCATCGCGAACTTGACCCAGGCATAGTATAATGTCCTTCCGAAACCTGGGTTTTCTTTGTGGGGGCTTCGTTTCTTGACAGTGTTTTCGGAGGGTGTCGACTTGTGGGCTTCAGAAATACCGGGTCTAAACGTCCAATATTTCCTAAGGTCGATCGATAGGTATTATGGATCGGGTAATTGAATTGAATTCTCCGGGCACCGATATTGAGGTTTCCTATGCTTTAAGCAGCCTTTTGGCTTTGGGTTTTGGTCGTTGGGCTCCTACGGGCGATTGCATAAAAGAATCTTCGAATCCCCCAAACCCTGTGAGCACTATAATCCTCGTAGCAACCGACAAACCTCATGTACACTACATGGGTATATAGTTCTCCAAATTACGGTCCTTCTTTGGGTCCACAATATAGTACGGCAACCTTATAACAAGTACCGTCGAAAAGGGAATGATCTTAACATATATATAGCACAAATCCTGGACAACGTGGTTCGCGGCCCCTGCTTCAGAGTTCGGAATCGAAAACATGCATGACCTTAATCAAAACCCTATATAAGCCCTATAAGCCCTCAACCCCTATAAAGACTTGAACAGAACCCGAAACCCTAAACCTTAAACCCTATATATGCCATATATTAAGCCTTGAACAGAACCCGAAACCCTATATAAATCCTATAGAAACCCATAAACCCTACAAGGCCTTGAACAGAACCCTTATAAACCCCAAACCCTATAGCGCCTTGAACTGAACCCGAAACCCTATATAAGCCCTGAAAACCCACAGGTTGCCTTGAACTGGATGTGTGGGTATAACCTCCAACAAACTGCGAGCTGGTGCTCATACAGTGTTGTGAAAGGACGATGCAGAACAGTCGCAAGAAGATTCTTTATAGAATGTCCATGCAGTAATAAAACTATCTCGAGACTTCCCAGAAACCAGCTTATCAAGCCCATGTGAAAGAGTCTTATAAATGCTTCCCGAACGAACCACCCAAAGAGTGCCCCACAATATAATCAAAAGATTGCAGCTGCTCAACTTCTTATAGGGGTGTGCGACATAAGACGCTTACGTCGGGGATGCACGCAACCATGGTTTAGGACACAATCCACGCCCCGAGAAAACCCTATGACCCCGATCGCTAGACCCACCCTATACAATCACAAACTACCTTAAACCCCTCATAGGTTTACGATGCCGGGGAGATCTTCGCTGGCGCCGCCGTGGTCACGAGAGCTCTTCGTGCTGCTGGCCGCACCACTGCCAGCATTGACATATCCTTCTGGAAGGCCTATGCAAAGGATCGGGTTTTCCATGGGAAGAGAGTTACCAAGAGGAACCCGCTTGATCTTCTGGAGCCCAGTGGGTTTGCGTTGCTTAGATTCAAACGTGGTTGCACATACTTTGTCTTCTAATATAAGGGTGCGCCGGGCAGTGTGTATATCCGAGGCTATTATTGATCGTACTTCTACGAGCCAGATCAGACTTCGTCCTCATGATCGGTTTCCCCTGTTCGTCGTGGGTTTCTATGAGTCGTGGCTCAACACAACGCGATTTCTTCATGCCTCTAGGCAATAGATTGGGAGGTGTCGAGGATGCAAATGTTCTGGCATCGAGGCTGGGTCATCTTCATTGCACACTATCGACTGCATGTCTACAATTGATGCGCATGTGCCCTCTGCACAGGATGGTCTTAGTACTGGAACTTTGCAGCGCTCTGGGTTTGGTGTGGGTCCTTGAGCAGCCACGGTCATCCTTGTTGATGCGACACCCCCGCTTCCAGCAATATCTCAGAAGGCACATGGCTGCTTAGATCCATTAGTTGAGTCTGTGGTTTCTAGGGTTATAGGAAGTATACACTGGCTTTTTATCTTGCAACCATGGTAGCTAAGGTACATAAAATCCACTTCTGGATGCGGTTTTGGGGAGCTAAAACTGCGAAGAGGACGACCCTGTGGAGCAACTCCTGTGGAATCAGACTGTTCAGCTCCGGCCACATGTCCCGATTTGCTCTGCGCAGCACGCACAAGCTTACCAAGAGAGGTGTAAACACTGACGGTGTGGAAACCTACCGAGCCAACGACAAGCTCCGGATGTCCCAGTAGGGCTCTTGGCTACACGTACAAACCCCATCGGCTTCGTCCCCGTAGTCTAGAGACCTGCCCAGGAAATACCCCAGAAAGTTCGCGAATCACTTTGCTTATGCCTTCGCGATCTTGGTCGCAGAGAGGAAGCCTGCCAATTGCGTAGAGGTGGAACCCGCTGCATGCGTGTTTTTTGTGGCTTGTGCAGTCTAGTGTGTGCAGGTGATCAATCCTGAGGATCTGAAGCCTGCAGACATTATGAGGGACCCGCAGAGATTTCAGGATGCGTGGGCCGATGCTAGAATGGTGGATGTCTTTCACTATTTGCAGCGGGACACAATGCTTTCTGTGCCGAGTGAATGGTACCAGCACATACTCTCGGCTTTGTCTCTGTTCCCTCAACGGTAAAGAGCTGCGAAGAACCAGCTCCTAGCTTTTTGCAGGTGCTTTGCGGTGTTTTGGCAATATTTGTTCCTAAATAAGTCGGTTTTAGCAAAAAATGAAAGTAGCCGGGAAAAAGCATAATAAGCGTAAAGTGCCGTAAATTAGTGCAAAAGGCGTGCATTAAAAGCGTGTGGATTTTATGCATAAAACCAGCTACTTTCCCCTAGGCCAAATCACCGCAAAATAAGCGTACCGAAACCGATTTTGCGGGTTTCACGCAACCGCCGCCACCTATGTAGTGCTGGGCTCTGAAAGCAACGCTTGCCTATTATTGTCGATCCAATATTGCTACGTGAGGCGCATTATATCCTTTGCTCACCCATGCAGGCTCTGTTTTTGTTCTTATGGGATATATAGCATATCCTAGCAGGCGCCATGGAAGCCGGAGGCAAACAAGCCTCTTGTGCTACGCTTGCCCAAGGGATCTCTTTCTTGAAAGATGATTTGGGTGATATGATGTCACGTGATGATGTGCCGATGGAAGATAAGCTGAAAGCTGCTTGGCTTCATACGCACATGTACACCTGCATATGTACACATGTGTGGCTCTCCTCTCTCTCTCTCTCCCGCTCTCGCTCTCTCCCTCTCTCTCTCTAACTCTCTTTCGAAGAGCAACGAGCGTATTCAAACAGCACCCTATCTCTCTTTGTCTCTCTCTCGCTCTCGTCTTAAATCACGAGGCTGCGAAGGCACGTCTTGAAGCCTTGCAACAAGCCGCACCAGCGGCCACGACCACGGCCCCCGTCGCGACGCCTGTGCGCAACGCTTTGGTTGCGAAGAAGAAGAGTACGAAGGAGGATGAGAAGGCATCCTAGAAAGATTGTGGTGACAGGTACAAGTGTGCGCATGTTCCACCGCATGATTGGTACAGGCAAACTCGAAAAGCACATCCCGATCCCCTACGACAAAATCTTCCTCTTCCAAGGACTCATGAGCTCGTATATAGGGTTTATACAGGGTATCTATATATGGGTTTTTTTTACAGGGTTTGGGGTTATATGAGTTCATATTCGGGCATCCCTCTCTTTAGGACCCTGGTGAGCCAACTCCGACCACGAAATCTTCGCCTCCGAAGGCGACCCCAAGCAGCCCAGCCAAGAAGCCACCTCCAGAGAAGATCCATGGAGTTGCTGGGATAAGTTTTGAACGCACTGCCGGCTATACGGATGCTTCGATCTCTGTTTGCTACATATAAGGTTCCAGCCCAGACTTACAGGAACATGGAGGCGAAAATTCGCCGCATGGTCGACCCGAAGAAGCGCAGCGGCAAAGTCACGGCCTCGGAGGTGCTCCGCAAGAAATGGTTCGAATCCTCGGATGCACGCTCAAAGTTGGTGCTGGAGATGGTAAAGAGTGGTGGTGACAAGGCTCGGCTCAGCTTAGTTTCGGCTTCTTTGTGATGCAATAGCCCAGTCCCTGCCCCAGGCCAAGTTCACCGCACGCCTGAAGCACACCCACACCAATTTGCAGAGACGCTCCGAGCTGACGGACAAAGAGTGGCACACGAAACTTTCGATGAAGGACAATCTCCATTGGCCAAAGTAGCTGGTTCGCAAATATCGCACGCACAAGCGCAAAGATTGTGATGTCTGGGTTTTGCAATGCCTAGGCCACGCATCAAGGGAGCGGTGAAATGGTGCACGCACAAGAAGCGCCGCGCAACTTACGTGAGGACTTCGCCGCACTACTTGCCATGTATTGTGCATAATCAACTGCATGATTTCATGATTCTGCATGATTCTGTCAGGAAGGACAAATACAATCCGACTGATCACGAGTACCTCGTGGATGTTTCATCCAAGAAAACCCTGGCTAAGGAGTCTGAGGACAAGCTGGTGGACGACACAGATTTGGGTGAGCATGAGCGGGAGAATGTTGCTTTCGGTTTCGACTCCGATTCCCAGGGCCCCAACAGTGAGGCTGAGAGTTGTGACGACGCTAGCAGTGCAAGCAGCGAGCCTGCACGGAAGAAGAACAAATCCAAGAAGAAGCGAACACGTGCTTCCAGCACCACCCCCAGCCCGAAGAAGCCCAAGAACAAACCCGGGCGGGGTTTGTCCAAAGCAGATCTCGAGCTGCAGGTTGCTACGGAGGCCCGTGATTGTCCATCCCATCCCTCCCGCTCTCTCTCTCTCTCTCTCTCTCTCCCTCATTCTCTCTCTCTCTCTCTCTCTCTCCCTCTGGTGTCTGTCTCTCTCTCTCTCGCGCTCTCTCGCTCTCTCGCTCACTCTCTCTCTCTCTCTCTCTCTCTCTCTCTCTCACTCGCTCTCTGTCGCTTGCTATCTCTCCCCCTGTGGCTCAAGTACCCGATCTGTGTTTCTCTATATACTTGTTATCGCCCCTTCGTCTCCTATCCCGGCAAGGGGTCCTATTTGGAACCTTTGTCATTCCTCCCTCTCTCTCTCTCTCTCTGTGTTCCGTCAGGGAGTTTGCACCGTGATTTCATGATCATCTTAACAGCATGTGAGAAAATACTGAACTCGGGTGAAAACTCACTCTGCTTGGAGGCTGCCGAGAGTGCGACAGAGGTGCTGGACAACGCGCTCCGTGTCCAGGGTCGCTTGAACGCTACGTTGCGGAAGCTCGGGGAGGTCACCCTTGCGGACGGTTCGGACCCCAAGAAGTTTCACGGCTTTGTTTATTCGGAGGCTGGTATGAGGCTGCAACCAGAGGCCAAAGGAAACGACCCCCAAAAAAAAACACAACCCCGAGATTGAGGGTAGGGAGGTGGGAGGAGAGGAGCGGGAAGAGAGAGGAAGAACAAGTGTGGCAGGGAGTGCGAGAGCGAGAGTGAGCGAGATAGAGAGAAGGGATAGAAAAAAAGTGATCGAGTGCTCTGGGTGTGTGGGTGTGCGATACTAGATTTACTATATATATATATATATATATCTATAGGCCACGCACACCGTATGGTGTTGTACAACCTGGAATGAAGTCGAACTTGCAATCTGTTCAATGGTGACCACTCGACATCCTAGCAGTCTATGATTGTGGTCTCGTCTACACTAACACTGTCTCAACGGCCCTTCAAAAGTTCTATAAGCCTCCCAAACCGTAAAGAACTCTATAAACCCATATAAATCCCAATATATATATACATATATAAGGTCGATATAAACCCGTATTGATTCCAAATACTTTCTATCACCCCGACTCTGTAATGATTTCCAACCAAGGGCCAAGGAGAGCCTACAGAGCAAGCTCGATGCCATCTCGAAGGCGCATGATGACATTGCGGACTTGAAATCCCACTTCGATGCTTTCAAGAACTTGGATGAAGAGCAACTAGACTTTGTCGGGGATTCTATCGAAGCTCGTCAACCCTATAAAGACTATCATAACCCATGGTACTTGACATGCCTTTAACAAGAATTGTGGATTGTAGATAGGATGTTGTTATTGCCATGCACTAGCTTCCCAAAAGACACCCTATGTTGCAACCCGTACCGTATATCTAAGGCAGGCCAAACGCTTGTCGGAGGCTGTCACCGAGCTGGAGTAGCATCATTACCTGGGATGTGCGAATTCTAGATATATACTCATGCATTTGCTTTATTTAGCTGAGGTGCTCCAGGGCACTGTTGGAGGATAACAAGTTGAAGAAGTCACTTTGCCAGCTATATCAGCCATGTATCACGAAGCCTGTGACTGTCTTGGGTCTGTGATTATCGGGTTTATTGAGGTTAATTTTAATGCTTCTGTGTGCTGCTCAGGACGACGCTCAAGAAGGAGAAGTCAGACAAGTCCGACAAAGCACCGAAGACCTCGACCCCGAAGGCTAAAGCTAAAGCTAACGGGAAACGCAAAGCAGCGCCCAAGAAGAAGAACAGCGACTAGGGCGACTATGTCGGCAATACCTCTATCTTCGCTCATGATCGACGATCGATCTTGTATTCCGTATACTTATTTTTGCAGCCCAGGTTTCATCCTCGAGATGATCGTTGTCGATGCCAGCAAGCCTGGCTCGAGCAGATATTTCGTGCTTGTGGCTAGCTTCACACCTGACTGGGGTAAAGAAGTTGTGATTTAGTAGGATACTGTATGAACTGCATAGCTTCAAGACAGCAGGTGATGTGCGTAGGGCCGCAACGCCGTCGCAGTCTAGGTGTCGTGAGTGAAAACACTCTGTCGGCTGACCACTGTTGGTAGCCCTGCACTACGGGGTGGGGATGTGCCGGTCCAGCAGTGCAACGCTGATACCAAGAAGTATGCCGCATGCGCAAAAGCTCGGTCGTGCAGCTGCCACAAATGTTTGCAATGTCATGGTCTCAAGCTTTCTTAATGTGTCGAATTATATACGATCTTTATTTATACATCGTCCGCCTGCGCAGGCAAGACTTCAGCGCCACATGGTGCAGGACCGGCCGCAAGGGCCATTGCTGAAGCAGCTGCTGATGCTGACTCTTGACAGTGTACTACAGTTTTCTCGAGTTGTATTTAGCATGTCAACGAAAGCTGCGAGATCTTAGTCTATATATATATATATACATAATCATCCTTCTTTTGAATTCCTCTTTATCACGTATTAAGGCTTCAGATAAACGAGTCTGCCACTTGGCGCATGGTTTCTACACAGAGCTATGTGCAGTGGGCAAGAAGCATGAAGCACCGAGTTCGCGTTTTCTGCACAAGCTCTCCCAGCTGCACACCACTGGTCATGAAAACAGGTTGGAATCCGTTTTGGAAGACTTCGGACTTCAGGCACCGATCCCTGTGAGCTACATACAAGTGGAAGGCCTTCAATCTTCCCACCCGGTTCTAAAGCCGAAAGATATTCTGGAAACTATGGGGGAGTGCAACAAGCTTGATTGTTTCTTGCACGGTCACAACCCGAAAGACTTCTCAGATTTTTGGGAAAGGTTTCGAGCCCTGGAGCCTGAAAACTTGGTGTTCACACAGCACGCAGGGCGGCTTGAGAAAGTTATACCATATATGATTCATCTAGATGAGGGTTCTGGTCAGAAGAAGAAGCCTATCCTCATCCTTCAATTCCACGCTGTTTTGGGATTGGGATCGAGGCGGGCTTCAGACCTGAACTTTACAGGATCGACATTCGCGACACGCCTGCTGTATACCACAATGCCAGCCAAGACCTACGGGAAAAAAGCCAAGAAGCATAAGATCATCACTAGCCTTTTCGAAGCTTGGGCTAGGGATTTGATGACTTTGTTCACGGACGGCTTCGACTACGAAACTGCTGGTGGCAAAACGACGAAATTGTTTGCCGCTTGTGTTGGCTGCAAAGGAGACTGGCCGGCGCTCAATTTGGCTGGAAATTTGGAGCGTCATTTTGGCCGTGTGGAGAAGGCTGGTGCTGGCAAACCATGCCCGGGTATCTGCCATTTATGTCGGGCAGGAATGCCAAAATATCCGTGGCACGAGTTTGGCCCAAGAGCCAAATGGAATCTGGATCGGGGAGAAGTGCCCGCTCCTTGGAAGCCCCGGAACATACCTCCGCTTCTGGCTTTGTGCCTGAACCCTCGCAGCCCAGAAAGTTTCTTCAAGATCGATTGCTTTCATACGCTTCATAAAGGCTGCTTCGCTGACTTAGCTGCTTCGGCAGCAGCTTTCTGACTTGCGAGCATGGCAATGATTTTATTCTTTGTTATATATGAGGATCGAAGTTATTTTAGGAAACGGGTATCTATCGGTATAGGGTCCTGCTCACTGTAAACCGAATGATGACAAGGTTCTCTTACGAGATCTTGGTTTCTATGGAGAAGACATCGGGGTGGAGAAGTTTTGCGATGAACTTTTCGAAGAGTTGAAAATCTTTGCTGCAAATCACAAACTGAGCCTACACATGATTCATCTGAGCAAGACGCTGCTGGGTATCGAGAAGTCTGCCCACTTTCCACAAGGGTTCCTTGGGGAATATCAAATAAGTTTTACCGAAGTTTATCAGTAGAATATGTCGTGCTATGGTTTCGTCATCATATTCCTTTCTTCCTCTAAGGCACTGGTTCAAGGGCAGTGACACCAGTGTGTTTATCAAGTTTCTCGAGAATAAGTTTAGCCGACTTCTTGCCGATGACGATTGCGACGATGGATTTTTGGAATGCGTTTGGCAAGCCCTACACAATGCCGATTGTTTCCTTCGCGTGCTGTACAATAGCGGGCTCTGGCTCTCGAAGCAGGACGCCCTCCAAGCCAGCGACTATGGTTTGGAGTTCTCTCGCCACTATACGAAAGCGGCCACCATTTCGTTTGGTCGTTCTCTTCCTCGATTCCAGTTTCAGCCGAAGTTTCACATGCACAGTCACGTAACGGAAACGTTGGCAGAGCATGCCCGTCAATTCGGGTATGCTTTGAACCCACTTGTAAACAGTTGCCAACAAGATGAAGATTTTGTTGGGCGCATAGCTAGCATAGCTAGAGTACAGCATGCTCGCACGCTGAACCGCCGGGTTTTGTCGAAGTACAAGCTGGCTCTATCAACGAGGTGGTAATAACAGTGCAGCCATCTGCATGCCTTCGAAGAAGGAACGATTGATTTCATGAGCGATGCCAGGCCAGGGCCATGGGAATCTTATATGATCGAGTTTTACTGTTCAGTGTTTGCAATTTCATCGCTTGTGTCGAGTCGCTGGCTTTGATGCCGGCTTCACCGGTGGTGGTGCACATGAGCGCATGGTGAAAGATCAGCGTTTGGGATCGTTCAGACCACACGGTTGTAACCGAGTTCTTTTCATATTGCTGTTGGATTCCAATGCCGTAGCAACATATCTTGAATGCACTCAAGATGCTTGTATTATCGCGATCTTATCATTCTGATTTTAAGTGCAAACAGGCTAAGTGTCACCTTTTCTCCTGGTAGTGTGTTTTAAGGGACGAAAGGCGCAACTTGACGAAGGCGTGCGTTTAAACACGCTCCCAGGCTTTACAGGTAATTTTAGGCCCAGTCCAAAACCTTAGT